GTGCTCGGGCAAGTCATCTGCCAGCGAGTCCACACGAATATTCTCTTCATTCATCTGCGTCTTGCATCTCATCGCAAAACGCCGTCCCCGAACAACCACTTCCTCAGGGCTGTCAGCTCCCATGCTGAACGACACGCGTAGGGGCATGTTGGCTTCCGTTCCCGGCTTCCACGCGACAATGGCCAGGTTTTTGACTTCTTCGCCAACGGGGGGATCCAATGTGCGCAACTTCTCCAGTACCGATTTTGGCGTGTGCAGAAACCGCACCAAATCCTCTTCGCCCAGGTCGGAAACGTCAATGGAAACATCCACACGGCATGCTAAGAGCTTGGCTGCCTCGAGGAGCCCGGTAGAGGCACGGGCTGCACCATTGTGGCTGCTACGGCCTCGACCGTCGGTGCTGATGAGACCGCAGCGGCACACCGCGATTCGTGGCGGCGCAAGCTCCATCCAAAGCCTCGGACCCCCAAGAGTCCGACCTGCAGTCCACAATGCCGGCAGACTGCCCTGCAGCAGGGATGTCGGTTGCGCATCATGGCGTGTTGTGTGTGTTCACAACTGTCGTACTGGCAAGGTTACGTCGGTCCACTTGCACTATCTGCTCAACATGCAAAGCGTGCAATGGGGTCTGGTGTCCGCGCCGTTTGGGGCAGACCATCTAGACTGGACAGTTTGAGCGACTCACATCGCTATAGCAGCGGCAGCAACAAGAACACTGATGACAGTAAAGTTGCCGTTGAACACGTTAGCCAAAAAAGCTCTCGCGCAGTCATTAACACTGCCTGGACAAGTGCTGCATAAGAGCAATCCGCCCATTCAGCAAGCCCTTGCCGGGATGTGCTCACTTTGGGGAATCCTTGCAATCAGGGGCCCATATCCTTATAGCTTTTGAACGATGCTCAGTCCTCTACCCCACCTCGACCCCAAACCTGAACCCTGGACCCAAGCGCTAAACCCATATGCCCGACACACTACCCTCGCCCCCAGACCCTGTACCCGCTGTTTACATATGTATGTATGTACGTATGTATGTATGTATGTATGTATCTATCTATCTATCTATCTATGTAGGTATCTATGTATCTATGTATTTATGTATCTATGTGTGTGTGCAATGTCTAAAAGTAATTTTCAACTGTAATGGGGCTGTGTTGGGAGTGGGCCTTGCAGACCAAAGATGAATCCCGGCCGCTTGCCGCAGTAGGGGCAGCTTGGTGCCTGAGGAGCTCAGACTCTGCTGGTTTAGGGTTTAGGGATACAGGTCCTAAACCCTAAACCCTAAACCCTAATGAAGGTCTAGGGATTGAGGCTTAGGTTTGGGAATAAGGGTTTAGAATTGAGTTTAGGGCTCCGAGCTTAGGGTGACGTTCTGAAGTTTGGAATAGGGTGGACCAAGTTCGGTGCCTGCTCTGTGGAATTACTTTGGACTTAATGACTCTGCGCAATGCAGGATTTCGGTGCTTCGAGCTTTGGCAGAATGATTGGTTTTTTCCTGCGAGCGTCTGTAACTAGGACTTTTGCATTTGGTGGGTGCATGGAAAGTCCATTTAACCCTAAGCCCTAAACCCAGCTTGCATAGCATTCCAAATGCTCAGAATAAGTTTTGTTTAGGATCTCATGGGCTTCAGATCGTCTTGGTTCTTGGGAATTATGGAAGTCAGTTGCAAGCATAGTACCCAAAATACTGAAACTGCTGTGTACAGGGATACATAAACGCACACAGCCTACGGAGAAAACTATGCGTGTTAGACTGCCAGGGCTTGTGATGTTGCGAGGCCTGCAGCATCGAAATTGAAATGCAAGTGAGAGATCAAGTAAGAGCACGTTCCTCTCATAAAACGTCTTCCCAGAAGGAGGATACAATCTTACTCCACGTTGGGGACCCTAGGATTATTCTCAGACATCAGTCGGTCATTGAATCAAGCGTTTGGGCAGCTTTGGCCCCTCAAATAGTGAGTAATCTAGAATAGATTAAAGGCGAGTGATAATGGACTGCAATTGCTGTATAACCAGATTGCAGCGTGCAGCTTCATCATGGAGGATTTCTTTCTGAAGCAGGAGCGCATGAAAACATTTTCGGCAAATTTTGGTGGGACACTGCACGAAGTTAAGTACAGTGGAACAAAATCTGCAGACCCTAGGATGCCGAAATAAAATACTACTGATGTGGTGAGGTGTCAAGATTCCTTGACTTGAAACCCTAAACATCCCA